CCTCCTCCTTCCTCCTCCTTCTTCCTCCTTCCTCCTCCTTCCTCCTCCTTCCTCCTCCTCCTTCTCCTCCTTCTCCTTCCTCTTGTTCTTCTTCTTCCTCCTCCTCCTCCTCCTCCTCCTCCTCCTCCTCTTCTTCTTCTTCTTCTTCTTCTTCTTCTTCTTCTTCTTCTTCTTCTTCTTCTTCTTCTTCTTCTTCTTCTTCTTCCTTTCTTGCTTTTGTTTTATAACATCATCGTTGCACTACCCCCCTTGCAATCGTGAAGCTGACAAGACCACCTCCTCGATTGAGGCCATGGCTTGTTGATGACTCAACTATATGTTCATGTCATGGCAATAAGAGAGAATGTCAGAGGGGCATCATTTTGCAGACCCCCTCTCGCTCTATTTATTGGGGTGTCAACTGTTTGCTTATGGGGTGCCTTTGGGAGGGCACAGTATTTGTCATTCGGCCAGATCAGAGGGTGAACGGTGAACCTCTTTAGGGGCCTCTGGTGCTGGCCTTGTGAGCTGTTCCAAGGCTAGCAGGAACCATGCGGCGCGGGTATCGAAAATTAGCTTGTGAATTCATTTGAGGGAGAGGGATTCCAATTTTGTGGCCAGGTCCAGAATAACTAATCCTCCTTTGACCTAGATTGGGTGACCAAGCGCCATGCCACCCGACTGCTGCAGTCTGTCGGGTTTTCCTTATGATGTGAGTTGTGTGGTGGTCTACTTTGTCCTTTTGCTGTGTCCATGGGTTCCTTTGTTGCTGGGTGTCTTGCTGTGTAGGTACTCTGCCTGCCTGCCTGCATACCTTGTTGCTCACCTGCCTTGTTTCCTCGCTGCTTATTGGACTGCCTTGCTGCTGTTCTTGCCTTGCTACCTTGTTCGCCTGCTGCTTGCCCTACCTCGCTGCCTCGCTGCCTCGCTGCCACGCTGCCTCGCTGCCTCGCTGCCTTGCTACCTAATTGCTTTGCTGCTTTGCTGGCTTGTTGCCTGCGAAAAGAAGGAAAAGTGATGAAAATGAATGCCATTGCGGCTGCGTTGAATTGGCAACAACTGACATGGGCACGGAAACGACGAAAAAACAAAATGTGAACGAGAACGGCCATGGAAACAATGACAAAGGCAAGCAAAGAAAGAACAGACTACGATGACGGCAAACGAAAACTCTAAGGAGGACCACAAAAGACGCACAAACAAAAAGCAAAACACAATAGAATGATTCCCAAGCTCATATCACCCCGATTGACGCCCTTTGCAGTGGGACTCTATTTCCCCCGGCGTATAGCCGGGGCTATTTGGCTTTTCCATTGGTTCAGCCAGTGGGACCAGGCTGTCGGCCTGATCTCACAAGCCGTATGTTCATTCAGTCTGGTATCGCCGTTGATACCGGTCCAGCCAGTCCAGTCAGTCCGCCCGGGGTATACCCCAGCCTGCAGTCTGTTGTGGGATTCATTCTCCGTTGTGCAGTTTTGGAGTATGTGCGGTGTGTGTCCTTGGCGGTGCTGTCTCTCTCCCTCTTCAGCTCCATCTCCATCTCCATCTCCACCTTCTTCCTCCTCTTCCGTTCTCCATGGTTACGGGATCTCCCATCCATGCAGTTCTCGTTACACCCTTCATCCGGCACCACCTTGCTCTATCTTCCCTTGTTCCCCAGCGTGAGGTGAACAATTTGGTACGGAACCCCTGCTGCGCCCTCCGCAAACATTGATGATCTGCTATCGATGGCCCGATGGGTAGTCTAAGGGCGTTGCCACACTGAGAATGGTGCACCGCGACACCACGCCTTGAAAACCGAAACCCACAACAAAATTGAGAGGGGTCAGTAATTCGACGTCGAGAGGCCCTCTTAGAACTCCCCCCGGAACCAGCCTGCAGCCAACTAAATTTCGAGAATCCTCTTGTCGGCCCTCCATGACCTCTCGATTTTTAGTTAGTTACAGTGACAAGCAACAACATTTTTGGCCAGATTCATTCTTTACTTGAAATTAAGAGCGGGTAACTTGAGAGGTGTTGCGGCGAAGAGCCCAAACCTCTCTCGCAAACACTACTCTTGAAATACTCTGACAACTCTCAAGAATCTTGATGAGTTTGAGAGTAGTGTGGCAAGGCCCTAAATCTCCCCTCAAAATGGGCGAGCAGCTTTCTTTCTTTCTTTCTCTTTTTTTTTTGAAGGCTAGAACAATGTCACTAGGGGTGTGGTACGATCAGCTTCCCCTAGTACACGTTCCGGTTGCTCCATTCTATTGGTGGGGAGACGCACCTGCTGGAAAGCGGGTCCGGCGTCCCATTTGAACAATTGAGAAGTATATAAGTAAGAGTGAGATCTTCGCTGCCAGCATTGACTGCCCCAGTGGGACTGGGGGGTTAACTGCGCAGCTACTAAGTACAATAAGGTCTGCCTCCTGTCTCTGTTTTTTTTTTTTTTTTTTTTCCTCTCATCCCTTAGGTGTAAACTTGGGCTCTGGCCATCTCTTCAGTTGCCTCCACAGACGACCGCCGGATTGGCCTGAAGCTCAAGCGGCTGGCCCCCTTCGCCTCATTAGAGAGCCCGTCAACTGTTCTCCTAATGAAAGGCTTGCCGTGATCATTCAACTCCAATTCTTGTAGATGATAGGGGGTGTGGAGGAAT